CCCTCATCCACAAGCCGCACATCCCCAAACGGACTCTCAGCCAGCAGACTATCCCGCAACAACTGTATTGCAAGCTTCGAATCCGCAAGCTGCGTCGCGGCGGTGCCCTCCAGCGTCTCCTGCGCATTCCTCGCCACGTCGCGGGCCTTCGTCTGCCGCTCGGCCAAGGTGGCGGATAGCACGGCCGTTTGGCCCGCGCCGTCAGTGACGTCTTCGGGGAAGGCGATGGCGAGGGAGCGGAGGAGGGCTTCGAGGGCTGGTTCATCGTAGGCCGAGGAGCGGCGGCGGCGGTTGGTGGTGGCGTCGCGGGTGGGTGATCTCCCGGGGTTCGTGTTGTTGCGGCGGCGGACGGGGGAGACGAAGTCCTGCGTCGGCGTCTTTTTCTTTGGCGTCGCGACTGGGGTGGCGAGTTCTGCGCGGGCTGTGGTGAGGAGGCTTGATGTTGCTGTTTGGTGGGATTGATAGGCTTCTATGCGAGAGGAGAGACGGTCCATGTGGTCGAGGAGGTAATCTAGGCACTCGTCGATCTGGATGTGTCAGTGACTGCATGCTCGTCATGGGCTTGGGCGTGAGACTTACGTAGATGACCGCAGCGGCCGAGCGGCGCAAAGATTGCCCGTTCTTGCTTGATAGCGACTTTAAAGCCGGTTCGAGGTGCTGCTGCTCGACCGACATTTGAGCCACGGGGAGTATCTCTGCGTAGAGAGACTCGAGTTCCTCCTGAGAGGTTTTGACGTCGTCTGAAGGGTGTGATGTCACGCCGTTCTGGTGGGCGGAGCTTAACGCTTCGAGGTAGAGTCTATCCAGCTTTGTGCGTACCGTTTCGACGGTGTATTTGATCAAACTACGACAGGTGTGTAAGTCATGATATCTTTAGGAGCTGTGGGTGAGGCGAGCGCGTACCGCATGCAAATCTCACGAAGCTTTTCTACGTTTTCACGGTCTTCGGGGTCCTCGGTCTCGAGCTCGAGCCCCAGCTTGCGGAGACTCGAAAGAAGCTTGTCGTCAGAGTGGAGCAGGCTATCCAAAGTCTGCTGGAGGCCGTTGCCAGAAACCTTGGATTGTTGCTCGAGATCTGACGCCTTGTACTCCAGACTTTGAGACAGTTCCTCGACCTTGAGTCCCATGTTAGTAAAGCTATCTCCAGGAACGACTACAGCACAACTCACCGTGGTCATCATCTTCTTGCGCTCAGTATCGTGCTTCTGGTTCCGTTGGAAGACGAGGTCGGAGCGAGCCTCCTCAACCCTGGAATGGGTCTTGACCAGCTTCGAAAGGGCATCCTGCTGCTGTTTCAAGGTCTCGGTCTGCTTCACAATGGCGGCAGTCGACCGGTTGAGCTCCTCAATGGCAGTCTGCATCTCGCGTTCGCTTACAGCTTGAACAGCAGCCAGATCCTGCGACCCAACCAGCTTGTCGATCTGACCTGATCTGTCCAAGGCTGTGTACCTATGGACCCCATATTGATAAGCCATACGCACGTATCTGAGCGCTTGGCACACTCATGATGGTACTCACAAGGCTAGTTCGTCTCTGGACAGCAGATTCTCTGGGCCAAGATGAAGGCGGGCCCATTCGGTAAAGGCAGTTCCGTGCTCTGGGTCATTGAGGGCTGCCTGAAGGGTGTGCCGGTCAATGGCGATACCGTAGCTTCGTACAACGTTTTCCAGGTTTGAGACATCCATAGCGGCGAGCAGATGCCTTGATTGGATGCTATCTAGACTTGAAGGATTTCTTTGAGGTTGTGAGGGTGGCTGAACAGAGGGGGCCAGAAACGGGATGCCCCTCTTTGCGTAGGACTTGGTGTTCAACTACCAACAGTTTCTGGCTTAAGGTGCTGCACGTGGACAGAGTTCCGAATTTACCAAGGACGGGACGAGCCTTGGTGTCTGACCGGTGAGTGCTGTCGCCCCCAACCTTGACGTGGATTCGGAGAATAGAGAGGAATGAAGGCGTGGAGGTTTCAAGGTGTGAAGAAACGGGGTTGGAAGTTCGTTTCCTAAAAGGGAACGGCTGTAGCAAGTACACACGGGATGCGGTTGTCCAATGACGGAAGACGGCTGAGGTTTGTGGTTTGGTCCACAGATGGCATGGTATCAGAGGCCAGCGGAGGGGAGACAAAAACGTCTATAGGTTCCGGGGTATTTTGGCTTCCGTTGGGTGTAGCCAAGTCACGACGTCTTGAAGCAACACACGCTGCCGTTGTTGGTTGCAATCGTGCGGTAAAGTCGGAAAGGTTGTGTTGGTATTGTACGCAGCAGTATTGATGGTGAAGCCGCGTCGTCTCGGCTCGGGATGCTATTTTCCTTTTTCCTCCAGGTGTGGACTCGATTAAAGGGGATGATGCGTTGGTCTGTTCGTATACTTTGATATGGGAGCCAAGGGCAAATGAAGGACAACGCAAACCGAACAGATGAGATGATTTGATCAAGGCCAAGAGGGGAACATATGTGAGAGGCTCATTAGAGTGACGAATGAGTTGAGTTGAGTAAGTGAGTTGTCCAATGCAATGAATGAGTTGAGGTGAGGTGAGGTGAGGTGCAAACAGAAACAAAAGGAAGCCCACCGCGAAAGACGGTCGACTAGTCCGAAAACAGATAGATCCCCACTAGAAGGTCCATTTGGCCAACCAGATACCGTAAACCAGCAGCCTCCCGTTTGCACGGGCCCTATGGCGGTCCGTCGACGTCTGCAACGGCCCCATCCAATATCATCCTGGGTACGTACCTTGCAGCATCGGTGATACGGCCGATAGACTTACACGACGTCCCCTTCCCACCATTTCCCTTCAGCAACCAACGACCAACAACAAGCTGCGCTGTTCAATGATCCGTCACTCAATCGAAAGAAGACCGGAAGCAGGACTGGAGACGCGCACCTTGCGGAACAACGACCACAACCACAACCCCGGCAGCTTTTCGTCACAGCTCTGTTAAGACATCCCCACACAGTTCCGGTAGTGGCAAGGAAGACCAGCTCGATCTCCATCATCTTCAACCTTACGCAGCAAGCAACCTTTGTTTTCTGCAAGAAGCCATCCATATTTGCAGGGTAAAATATTGACGTGGGTACACAATCAGCCTCTTCAAAGCAGGTCTGATCTATTCTGGATATCGTTTACAGCACGCGCCGGTCTGCCGTCAGTCCGCCCCTCCCCGTCAGGCAGGGTGCAGCTTGCATCTCTCAGGACAGACATCGACAAGGACGGGAGATGGCTTGAGCGTCCCGTTGCATCTTGTCACTTTTGACGTCTGTCACACACACACATGCTCACATTATTGGCCTGGGGGCTATTTTTCAGCGGATGAACAGCGAGCCGACCATCGGGCTGCTAAGTATGAACGTCCAGACGTCCGGCGCGGTCCGGACGGAGGGGCCATTAGGGGGTCTTCTTCGAAGATAAGCAGTTGAAACTGCTCAGATATCTCGGAAAGTCAGTTCAAACAGACTTGATCGCTTTCCGGCCAAGCCTTGCCGCAGAATGTGATGCGTCGACTCTGCATCTCCATCACCAACAGAACGAGATCGATGGCCCAACCGCATATCTTTGGTCACTCGTGCCTCGGACTCTTGGATCCGTTCCACACGAGCAACAAAACCATCTTTGGGATGATTCTGCCTTCTCTCATTCGTTCAGAGTTGCTGGGTTTGCCACTAGGACCCGTCGACAAGGAAGCTCCTGGGCCTATCGTGTGTTCATCCAGCGTTTGTGAAGCCATCCACAACCATGGAATACCGGATGGGCCCCACACACTTTACCTTCCGCCGGACCCCATCCGTCTTCATGTTCACCTTCAACTTCACCTTCTAGCTTCTCCTCTTGGACCCCACTCGCTCTTCATTCACTAGAATGGGAATGGGGGCCGGCTTCGTATTCTAGTACCCGTTCCGTGGCGAACCCAAAGACTGTCTTTCGTCGAGTTTCCCATACTGTTTTCTTCCCTTCTTCGTGGATATATACTGCTCGCGTACGACACTGGGTGACGGGAACTGGGAAGCAAGAGCCTCTTTGTGTTTCCCTGTATCTTTACCAACTGCGGCCTTGTTTTCCACCTCGTTTCACGTGTGGATCTGATTGCCTTTGCTACTTGGGACTTCACCCTGGGGTAAAGTCAGTACCAAATCACTCTTGGACATATTGTCACACAACACCCTCCTGTTCACCCTGGGACCCGTCTCGTCTCGTCCTCCTCCCTCTACCACGACATGTTTACAAGAACCTCTGCTCGCTTCGAGCTTCTCTCCAGGATCCTCCAATGTCTCAGACTCAAACTCAGACATTTGACAGGCAATGTTCCCAGAGTCCGTTTGCCATTGCGAATGTTCAGGAGAGATACCGAAGAAAACAGCACCGACAGATGGGAACATTGCACCCGCCTCATACGCCAGCGGATGCGTGACATCTTCTGGGTCGGGGTGATTTACCTCGCTAGCGAATTGCTCATATGGAGTCTCTTCCTGGGCCTGTACGAAGTCCGACTTGACTACCTGTCACCCATCATTGGCATGGCGGTGGTGTTCTGTTTCATGTTCGCGATTTCATACCCTTGTCCGGGGTCAGAAAGCTTCTACCACCGCCACATCAAGTACAAGGTTTGTCCTTCGCCTTTGTTCTCACTTAATCACTGTTCGCAAGTTCTGATCTGGCCAGGTCGACTTCATCAATAGCAACTTGGGTATCGGCTTTCCAGTGCCCATCGTCATGATTACTAAGGATAGACTGCTTGGCGGTAAGGGCATTGGAAGAGTAATTGGCAACTTTGGTGAGTTCACCTTAACACCAAAAAACAATCTTCAACATTTCAAGACTGACAAACAAAGTGAACACCAACGTCGTCTTTTGGATACTCATATTCCTGCTGTCTTGGGGCATTTTGGCCGGGATCCTCAGAATCCCAACCTTTTCTCTACGTCAATCTGAAAGGAATAGCGATGTTGACAACGATGTCGACCAGCCATGGCACTCCAGCGGGCAAAATACCCCTATCCCACGGATTGCGATGCCCCCTCCAACACTCAAGCGGAGGCCATCCGTGTCAACAACTCTGAACGAAACCACAATCAACGGATACCATACCGATAAGGAAGCGGGATTGGGTCCAGATTCGAGGGCCGTCTCGGCTTACTTTACTGACAGCGACTGCCCGACCCCTGTCCCACTTCCGAGCCCACTGGGCCACTACCAAGACCGGACATCGCTTTCAAGCTCGCAGCAGCCCCAGGTCTCGAGCGGAGAGGGCATCCAAAGGTTCAGCTGGTTCAAGGAGTGCTACCCAATCATTCTATCAATCTTGTTCCTACTCACCGTAGGTATCCCTGTCTCGTATGCCCTAGGCGATGACCGCATCCTCGATGGGTGCATGCTGTGGTTCACCTGGATCAGCAGCACGAGACTGCAACGCAATTTTGGACGCAGCGACATCCTTTCCAATGTACCAGGGCTCAAGACGACAATCACGACACTCCTCAACCCAGTCCTTCTGATGACCCTTGGCATGATAGCCTACACTCGCGCCAAAGCCGCCGCCACGGACACACCCATCAAAAGAACGTTGGCCCAGTTCTCGCGCGGTAGGACTCTCTCCCTCATCTGGACCTCAAAGGTGTCGGAACATTATTACACCCCGAACGATTGGTTCGGTGCCGGCGACGCAGCGATCTCGATCCTTGAGGTCGGCATCGTTGTCTGGGGATTCAAGCTCTACGAGTGCCGGCATCAAATCTGGTCTCGCGCCGGCGCCGCCGTGGTAGTTCTTTCGGCTGTCTTTGCGGCACTCAACGTCTTTGTGTCCGTATTGCTCGGCAGAGCGGTTGGTCTCGGGCCTCGTGAGGCGCTCTCCTTTGCAGCGCGCTGCACAACGCTGGCGCTGGCGCGACCTGCGATAGAGGCAGTCTATGGGAACGATGTCGTCACCGCGGCACTGGTGGTGAGCAACGGCATATTGGGACAGCTAATGTACCCGTTCATGTTGCGGAAGCTGGGGTTTGACGCGACTAAAGAGTCGCACATTGACGTTGATGTAGACGAAGAAGAAGAAGAGAGGCCGAGAGACGACGCGCTTACCATCGGAGTAGGGACGGCGATTGGCATCAACGGCGCGGCCATGGGCGTCTCATATCTCTATGAGAGGAAGAGCCGGGCTGCGCCTTATGCCGCCCTGTCGATGACCGTGTTCGGGATCTTTACAGTCGTCTTCAGTGCGGTCGAACCATTTACAGCTACCTTGACGAAGCTTGCTGGCATGGGACCGAACAGGCTCCCGTATGGTGAGGTATCTTGAGGTTCCTCAATGTAGGTAGTTTGGCGCGTGAAATCGGTAATTCGGAGCATGAAAGGCGGCGCTCTGGTTAATGTACGCAGCCTAGCATATCATGATTGATCGATCCATAGACAAAGTGCGGGAGAGGCAAATTGTACTTGCGAGCTCGTGGGCTCTCTTCAGAAGCGCATTTGGTATTTTTTGATATACAGTTATGCCAGTGGCAAGCGCGTGATGAAAACAATTTTGCAAAAAATGTCATAAAACGTCCGGCTGGCTCAGTTGGGCCAGCCGTATCATGTCCACCGGCACTGGGCACTGGTTGAACTTTTTTCTTTCTGTGAACCCCCCTGCCTGCTTACACGCGCATGATGCTGTTCGTCTCTACTCTATCCCGTTTACTCCAGTCTGTGTAGTTTGATGGTTAGTGGAACTGTATATGGGAGAGGAGGAATTGCAAGAAGAAACAAGACTCGAATTGCTCACCTCTCAATCAGGTGCAGGCCGCTTGCCGTCTCCACGACGCTGCTAATCTCACCAGGGTTCAGACCAAAGGCAGCTTCTTCAAACTCCCGTTGCATGTCACCCTTGCCGAAGTAGCCCAGGTCACCCCTCTTACGGGCACTGCTGCAGTCGGATTCGGTCAGAGCCAGCTCGCCGAGCGTGGTCGAACCGGACTTAATCTTGGCCTCGTGAGCCTTGATGATCTCGAGCGCGTCCTCCTTGGTGCGGGAAATCTCGGCCTATGTTTGATAGGTGTTGTTAGCTGTCTTGTACTCTATCTAGTCTAGGAATATGTATCTTGGTATTCAGATTTGCGCGTACCTCTCTCCAGCTAGAAGGGCGCCGGCTGTCCTTGTGCTTGACCAGCAGGTGGGCAGCGCGGATCTTTCCCTCTGGCACGGGAACAGCCTGGGATCTTGCGCCGGCGCCAGCGCTGTGGTGGGTGGCCATGTAGTGCTTCAGCTTCTCGGTGTCGGTTCCCGCGGGCGGCTCCCAGCGTGAGACCTTTTCGGCGGCATTGAAGTAGTAGGGCAGGTTCTTGGAGTTGGAGTGTCGCACTTCCCAGCCGGGGGGGAGACCGGTGTCAGCCTGGTGAGGATTTATGTTAGTCGTCTGCTAACACTGACATTGTCTTGGTTGGTAAGCGGGACGGCTCCGCGAGAGACGCAGAGAAAGGTCCATAGCAGCATGCTGCGACGGCCCGAAGGCGAGGCTGCGCGATTTGAGGTGAATCTGGGCACAAAGGAATCGAGCGGGGTTAGGTGTAGAGGGTGCAGAGAGGGAAAAGGCTCTGCTCTGGATACGAGGTGCAGCAATGCTTACTCACCATTGTTGCGCGTGAGGTTGTTTACAGGAGAGACGAGGAGAAGCTGTTGCGATAGTTGCGCGGAACCAAACTTCAAGGGCGGGGGAAGTTGGTGGAAGGAACGAAGCTGTCGTGGAGTACCGAAGTGTAAGAAACGTGGAGTTGGTAGAATAAGGAAGAAGAAGAACGGCACGACGATGGAGGCGAGAAGGGTGGGCGTCGAGGTACAAATGTACTCGGGAAGGTATACCTACCGGTAACCTAAGGTACGGCAGCCGGACGGAGGAGACAATGCTAAGGTACTTTATAAGGGTAAGGTAGGTAATGGAAGGTAAAGGTATCCGTAAGGTGCAGCTGGGGAAGAGCTGGGGTTTGGCGATGCACCTAGCCAACGGCAACTGGACGGGGAGGTTCTTCAGCTTGGCTCGAATGGATTGGATGAGAGAGAGGATGACGTGCGGCTGCTGGGGTAACCACCAACGAGGCCTTGCTTGCTGGGAACCTACCGCACCGCAGTAATGGGGGGCTACCTACGGGAGGGAGGGGGAACAAAAAAGCGCAAAAAAAGCCAAGGTCCGGGCCACAATGATAGGTTACCTAAGCCACCAGAAGTATCTTTCATGCCACTTGAACAATGGATGTCCGCTGTCGACGAGCGTTAGTGGGGAGTGGGGGGGAGGGCTACGGGGGACCTGGTGACCTCTGACAGGGAATTAGACCGGAAAGGAACCTAGGTAGAGCTGGACTCGTGCCCGGACGGGAGCCATCAAAAAGTTGTGTCCCTGAAAGGCGGGGAAAAAGACGCTGGAGAGGGGAGTTGATCATTCCCCCCAGCGCATCGAAACTTGTGCCCTTATTGGTTCCATCCTGTTCCAGTTCCTGTCGAATCACGTGTGGTACCTAAGGTACGGTCCCGTGCTCATCTTGGTAAGCTTACAAAGTTTCACCCACCAGACCTTCCTTGCAATGGAAGCTCGTCGTCACACGTCTTATTCGACGCAGGGTTTCCCGTCCCAGACCTGTCGATCCCTCTTATCAAGGCACAGTCTATCAGGTTCTCCTTGAGGAATAGGAGAAAAGGAGAAAAGGAGAAAAGGAGAATGGAAAGAGATGTCATTCGTAGGATTTGGAAGTCTCAGACTAGGCTAAGCGACAGTTGGGTTTTAATTTTCGACCAACAACAAGTGCCCCTCGTCCGCCCCTCGTAGAGCTTCTCAATGAGACCCCCCATTACCTGGAATAACTTTGGCCTCATGGAAAAGTCCAGTGGGAAATGTGACCAGCTACCTATCCAAATCTGTGTTCAGTTGCTCTATGGTATGCCAACGTTGGCTCATCCGCCACGCTGCCTGCTACCAGTGGTCTCACGGTACCTCATGCGGACTGCTTCTCTCATTTATCATGGAGATTTGGTAATCTCAAGATTGCTTTACTTAAGAACCTACTCCTACTTGAAAGGTATATGCCTCGAATAGAAACAGTCATGAATAGCGTTCTGGAATCCAAAACGATAGGTGGGGGATAAACTGTTTAGACATTGATACGATCACCTCAGATAGGGTAGCATATGACCAGATTTTGGCTCCTCTATTCGTAAGAGGTTCAGTATATCCATAAGAAAACCCTAGTCGCTAAACGATCACCTCTTGAAGAGATGAAAAGTACAAAGTAGACTTAAATGACGGTATGAATCACAAGAGACGGCGGCCTCACGAATATTACAATCAGGTTGGCATCTCGGATGAACGAGTGACTCACCGAAAGACGTCTCGGTGAGCTGGTGACCATAGCTCGAAGAAATTCCATTCCGCCCTGATTCACCGAGGCAGTCCCACTTTTCGCCTCCCGCACTGCAAAAAGGAACGTGCGCCTTTCTCCATCAGGTTCCTTTCGATTATTTGCGCCGCACTTCGCTCTTCCACCTTCTGCCTGAATCTCAACATTACACATCGCTGCCCGACTTTCAACACCGCGCTCTATACCTCGATTTTGGTTTATAGACTTACGCGACGATACTGCGAAAACACTACACCCCGTTCGATTAATCAACCCTTGCCCCGACGCACAAGAATCGCTTCGCGACCGACATCACGATGGCGACCCCCATGAGCACCAACTCCCAAGACGACGCCGCGAACAAGAAGCTTGAGCAGATTACCTTTCGCTTTTGCTCCGAATGCTCCAACATGCTCTACCCCAAGGAGGACGAAGAGACTCACCGCCTCCAGTTCACCTGCCGAACCTGCCAGTTTACCGAGGAGGCTCAGTCTACCTGCGTCTTCCGCAACGTCATGAACAACGCCGCCGGTGAGACCGCCGGTGTCACACAGGATGTCGGTTCGGATCCTACTGTAGGTGATCCCCAGTCTGTTCTTGCCCCTGTTGTATGCATCGGCTGCGGCCACGCCATCCTTTGCAGCGGCTGCGGTAACCCGTCCGACGACTTCAATGTCTCGGTGGCCCCTACCCACCAGCACGACGGTCCCCAGAGCAAGAAGACGGAGATCACATGGGACGACTTGATGGACATGGCCGAAGACGAGGCTCTCGACGAATACGACGAAGAAAGGGAATCAGTCACCTCCGACGAGATCAACCACGGATTCGCGGGCATCGCGCTTAACAACGAGCCTGACTCCGCCAACCGGAAAGTCTCGTGGCCTACTTTTCAGCTGGCTGTCAGCCAGTGAAGAAGGTTCCTTCGCCACGCGTTACCACGCGTTACCACACGACCTATTTTTTGGATGACACCCCCTGGACCTGGCTTTTGCAATGGGATTTTGGCTTTCACCTTGAATACGAGACCTCCCTTGTGATCAGCTGGCTGACGCTGCATCTTTCCCGGATCTAGCTTCCACGATCAAACAAGGAATGCCCCGTCTGTAAGGGCGGCGAAGCCGTCTTCTTCCAGTCTCAGCAGCGAAGCGCCGAGACGGGCATGGTTAGTACATCTCTCATCTTTCTCTCTTTCAACCTCCCTTAGGGATGTCCCAAAGGCTAACGCGTTCTCGTGCAGAAACTGTTCTATGTCTGCTGCGATTGCGGTCACATCTTCCAGTAAAAGAGACGACCTGATGAAGATACCCCGAGATTGTTCTAGAGGAGGTTACCATGCATTGTAAGGAGTATTCTGGCGTTCGAGCTCTCGATTGGGGAAAAAAAGGCCATGGGGCGGCCACGGTTTTTGTCTTTAGCTATCATACAGACCATTGAACTATATCTCCCTTAAAGAGAGTAACCAGTCTTCGCCATCGCGCTTTATTTGCAAGCGACCTATGACCTGTGTGTGTGACTCGACTCGAGTTTCTGAATGTTTTTGTATTTGATGGAGATTGGTATCAACTGCCAACCCTGGAAACGCCGGCTCATGCATTCGTATAATACATTTCCCCCAATCTGATGACTTTTTTCTCCTATACTTTTACAAAGATCCTACACGTCTTTCTTGTCGTATCTCCTACCCCTACGTCCCATCGCCGTTCCCTTTATGCGTGCATAGGCGCCATGGAAAGGATCTTGCTCCACTTCTTCCTTCTCAGCTCAGCACCAACGACGCCGTTGATGCGGGAGCCGACGGGGTCGCCGGCCTTGTTGATGAGAACGCAGGCGTTGTCGTCGAATCGAATGACGCTGCCGTCGGGACGGAGAGTCTTTTGCTTGGTGCGGACAACGACGGCGTGGCGCATGTCACCACGCTTGACCTTGTTGGCGG